TATATATATATATATATATATATATTGATCTTACATATTGGCTGCCAGTTTCTGGAAGAATGCCACAAGATCCAGATGCATAATTTAATCCAGTAACCGCTGCCGATCCTCTAATACTCAGGTACGGAGGCGGATTTGGTAGCCCAAGATAATCAGCTTTTTCATACAAAGATTCATAAAGAAAAAGAAATCAGATCAAAAGATTAACAAAGAACACGCATATAATAACATCATTGTGTACATATCTATATATATCATTATATATAAATGTTAAAAAGAGTATATGTATATTATACGTACCTATGAAATCGGCGACAGTTTTTCCATTGGTGAATCTTCCGGTGACCCCTTGGTCAAAGTTTACACCGTACGGCAAATAATCTGCCTTTGCAAGAGTTGGCAAAAGATTGTTGTTCCCGCTATCAAACAAAGAATCTCCAAAAACGTACAATGCCGGTGCTAGAGGCGAAGAGCGGGCTAATCTTGAAAAGTAGAACAAAATTACGAGCCATAATGGGAATAGTTTTGCCATTATCCTCGTAATTCTGATCATATTATTAGAGACAGAGCAGTTACGATAATGTTTGTTTGAGGAGAAAAACAAGGAAATTAGTAGTACTTGACGAGTGTGGAATTGGAATGGGCATAACATGACGTATTTATACGACTGATTTGTAAATGTTGTAATGTTTTCTTAACAATAAGTAAATAAAAATAAAAATAAAAAATGATATATGTTATGTTTATTGGAGGAATCTGTGTGTGAAAATGGTTCAGTATTAACGGTGAGTGCACGTCACGTGGAAGGTAAGCTTTTCAATTCAAATGTGTGGACTTGAAATTCATGATGATCATGGGATATATATATATATATATATATATATATATATATATTGACATAGTCACATATATATACGACCAATGTTGTAACTGATATGAGGAATATTGGAGGTTTGTTGTGAATTATTGTTCTTTTGACCAATATAGTTTCAAAAATAAAATATTCTTTTGCCCATAATTACACTAACATATAGTACGTTATTCAGAATATACGTTCATATTGCCAAGACCCTTTGGTCTAATGGTATGGAACGTGGATTTTTTAGAGGACTTTGGGTTTGGATTGTGCTAAATTTATTGTCAGGATCACACGTCATTGTTATAATTTTTTTTTAAAAATATATATTGTACTATTTTTTTCCTCTTATCTGTTTGTTTTTGAAATTGACTTGCTAATTAATAATTTGTAAATGGACTTAATTATTGGTATTTGTATGGCCGTGCAGGGAGGTGCAATATTATTATTATTATTATTATTTTGAAGGGGGAGATGCTATATTATTGCTATATATATATATATATCATAATATAAATTTATTTGTCGCAGACCATATTTGGTTCCTAAATTGCTATATTTTTGTTTAGTTATTTAAATTATCTTTGGTCCGTAACATGATCAGTTTCTTTCTATTTCATTGGTTTCCTTATTCATAATAAGTAAACTAATAATTAATACTACTAGTGATATCTCTCATAACTCTTTTGTTTCTTATCAATAAAGGATAATATAAACTAATATTAGTCAAATTAATTACATTTGATAAACGGCGACGAAACTTGCAAATTTGTAAGACAATATTTTTTTCAGTTATTTGCTTTAAAATAACGGATTAATGTGAAATGTTGAAGATCTTTTATTGTTATCCTTTCAAACACCGTTACGTGTGGATAGCGCCAAAGATTTAATTATAAGATCCACTTATTTCTCATGCCACTTCTAACAAACCAATGATCATCAATGTAGTTAAGGACTTAATTTAATGATAACTATACATCTCAACATCTTAAGTTTGAGTCCTTATCTGCAAATTTAAAAAGAAAAAAATAAAAAAAAAAACGATGAAGCTAGCGATTGATACCTAGCTGTGTGTGTATATATATACATATTTTGTCTTTTGTATTGTGCAGTTATATTTTTGCTTTTTGGCCATTGAAGCTGGCAGAATATTTAGTTTTTTTTTTTTTTTTTTTTAAAGATATAAGACCCGACTTTTGTTTTTGGTTGCTCTCGTTAGAACTCCGTTATTGTTGAATCGTGTTACGCGTTCAACTGTCAAAATGAACATTTCATTGCGTACAATTTTTGGGACTAAAATTTAAACGTGACCAAAATTCTGTTTTAACGTTCTGTTAATTTTGAAGAAGAATAAGAAAAAGATACAAATATTATAAAACGAAGGTAAAAAGAAAACATAGTTGTGTTGTAATTTATTGGGAGAAAGAAGAAAATAGACCAAGACTTGAGATGAATTAAAATTAATAGGCCAATAGTTTACATAAGTTAATAAATAGGCTAAATTACTGTTTTCGTCCATAACTTGTCTGGTTATGAACCATAACTTGACAAGTTATTATACATAATTGTCCATAACTTGTCTAGCTATGAATCATAACTTGATAAGTTTATCCATAACTTATCTGGTTATGAACCATAACTTGACAAATTATGGCCTATTAATTTCTATAACTAAAAATTGGCCAATATACTTTCTTAAGCTTTTCATATTGGCCTATTTTCTACTATTTTCTTAATTTATTTTGAACTTCAACTTTCACGTGTCCAGTAAAATAATAATAATAATAATAATGGCCTTTTGTTTTGTTTTTTATTTTTTTGTTTTTTTTTTGTTTTTGCATAAATGATGTGTTGCGTTTTAGAAAAAATACATAATTTACCTTTAAAAGTGTATACGTTTAAATTTTTACTTTTTTTTCTTGATAAATCAATAATAAAAATAAAAATTTTAACTATACACTTTTAAAAAATATTTATCACGATGACAAAAGGTGGTGGGTGCCTTTATCGTCTCTTGGATGTTGACTCTCTTTTTGTTGTGAGCCTTACTTAAAATTCCTGGTCCATTCGCAATGGTTGGGCTGATGTTTTGGAAAAGTTGATTCAGTCAACTTTTAATTAGTATTTCACACGTATAGAAAAGCAAACTGATCTGTTGTTGATTACGTTTTAAATATTATGGACATTTTAAATATTTGGTGGGACCAAAATGCAAAATTCTTCCTTACTTACCATTCACTTTCCACGGAAAGCTTTCGAGATCGCCATGTAAACTTTTAAAAGAATATATATTTGGTTGTTGAAGCCGTTCCCAACATGGCAAGACTTGCTATTAGCATAGCGTTATGTAAGTGTGGAATTGGGGCCGGTTCTTATGAGAGTCAAGGCAAACTCTCTATAGCGCTCATGAAATTCTACATAGGTGCATGACTCTTTAATGTGCTAAACTGTATAACAGCTCAGACTAAAACTTTAGTGAGGATGTTAATTCTCTAATTTGCAATACAAGACATTAGTGTTAGTTTACCAATTCACCTCAAAAGTTTAAGCTATTAGGAGGTGAGTTAATAATAGTTTTATATTTTAACACTCCTCCTCACGTGTAGGTTGGACAATGGGCAATCGTGTGAGTAAATTAATTAAAAAGCCTAACATGTGAATATTTAAGCCCGAGATATATTAAAGACTCAACACATGATAACAATTTAAATAGGGATAAAGAGTGTAATTACAGAGGTTTAAACTCAGGACCTCCCGCTCTGATACTATGCTAGTTTACCAATGCATCTCAAAAACTTAAGCTATTAAGAATTTTACGCGAATTTCAAATATTTGGTGGGACCAAAATGAAATTTTCTTTCTTACATACCATTCACTTTCAATGGAAAGCTTTTGAGGTGGTCATGTAAACTTTAAAGAGAATATTTGGTTGTTGAAACCGTTCACAACATGGCAAGTTTTGCTATTGGCATAGCATTATGGTAGTGCACTCACATGGAGCAAAGATTAGGCTATGTCCATGAAGCTTTCACCTTGGCTTTTTATGTAATTGTGAGATAATCAAGACAACGTATGGCGATTGGCAAGTTGATCATTATTCCTTATATTAGCCATCATGCTTAGTTCACTGCAGAACAAGCTATTAAATTAATTGAGTGCGTTTGGAACTCATTTCAAAATTATTTTATTTTTTGTATGAAAATGAAAATGAAAACGCTTTCAATCTCAGATAAAAATCATTTGAAAATGCGTTTGGTAATTTTATCAAGAGATTGTTTTCAGCATAAAAAAATCCATTAATGTATTTCTCTCTCTCTCTCTACTCAAGAGAGGAGAAAACGGAAACAAAAAATGAAAAACGACTAAAAGTCGTTTTTCATTTCTCTCACATTTTACACTAAATCAAAAAATCGTTTTCATTTCCGTTTTTTATCTTTAATTATGTTAAACGCCGTTTTCTCTTCCGTTTTCATTTTTTTTCTCGGAAAACGTGAAAAACAGAAACAAAACAACTCCAAACACCGTCATTATTTCTATAAAGCTTTCACAAAAGCATAATATATTAAAGACCATATTGCTATGGACGTCCATTTGATGTCCCATGCAAGTAGTTTGGCTTGTGAAAGCTGCTTGGCTTATCCTATCCAATACTGCACTTGCCGTGCATAATTCTGAGACAATGCAAGCCTTCCAAGAGATTGCCATGAATTAATTGTCTTGAGCGATGAGAACGGTGTAGGACTCGAGTTTATTTTTATCTCCCATAGTTTATGTATAGAGTTTGAGATACAACAACATCTCCTCCATTTTTCTCTTTTATATACTACTTTACTTAGAAGCTAATGTGTCTCATTAATTATTTGGAGGTTGTAGAAAGTTGTATAACAATGTCTCTAATTTTGTTCACTAATTTTGTTGTGTTCCTCATTTTTTCTGCTACGGTTACAGGTTTAAAGATTATATAACTGTTTCAGAGCTCAGCATTTAAGAGTGCGCTTTTTGTACATGGGCATTGTCCGAGACGGGCGGAATCTATCCTTAAAGATAGAGTCTAACTCTTAGGAAGCATCCCCTTTTCTGAATTTCCCCCAACAGATTATTCAGTAAAAAATAAAGATTAAAAAAAACTTTGTAGATTATTTAATTGATTGGTTAGGGTTTGAGGTACCGTGATTTTTGTTGGTCGACATATATTCCTAGATTTATAGTGAATGAGCTCTGTTTTTATACTATGGCATATACATTACATAGATGTAACTTAATTTAATTCATTTTTTCTTGTATAGTGTTTTAGCTTTAGAGGTTTACAGTCTTAGCCCTTTTCACGGGTTCGAGTTGATAATTTGAGTTGAAAAGTAAATTTATGTGAGAAAAAATATTGTAGTAACAAAACAAAATTAATTTTTTATTAGAAAAAACACTATAATAAAAAGTTTGAGTTGTGATTCAAATTGTAAAATGAACGAGGCCTTAATTATTTTTGTATTATGTTTCTCTGTTTCTTTTTTTTTTTAGAGACTTTGGCCGAATCCTCCTCTGATGTTTGTATTCTTATTTCATTCTTAATATCCATGCATGTTATATAAAGGACGTATAATGTGATTCTAGCAAGAGAACTCTACTTTTGTATGGACAGACTGAAATTAATACCATATTGTTAGGAGTATGCAAACTAGTACTATTTGTATGGAGATTCTGAAGAAGTGTAGACATGTAGAGATGTAGATAAAGCTAATTCATAATCTGATTTCGGGCAAGTGTCAGAATTAGTGTTCATGTAAATAAATAGCTTAGCAGTTGCTGATCTCCATGCATACATGTATTAGTACAAAGCTGTAAATCGGATTCAGACAAAAATTTATTTATTTATTATAAAAAAAAAAAAAACCTCCTAGTTTGTGGCGTACTCGAAGACTAATTTGTTTATTATTTTATTTTATTTTATTTTATTTTAGTTTAATTTTAATTTTGGCCCTCGAGAAATACTCGTAGCTCATTTTACCCTTTAAACTTTTGAATGTCACACTAATAGCATCCGAACTTTATCAGTCCAATATGTATTTAAATGTTTAATTTTAACGACACGAAATGTGACAACCGACATCTGAATCATCCAAGAAAAACGACAATTAGATTTTCCCAGGGATAACTGTATGAAAGAGATCCCATTCTACTAAACAAATAAACGATATGTGTTATTGTTGACCAATAAATAAATAAATACATTACTTGTACTCTATACTTTCCGGTTCGAACGACCTGGGGGGGAATCTTTCTTTCTAAGAAACATTACGGTCCGTTTATTTCACTGATTTGAGTTTAGAATTTAAATTTTACTATAATAAGAAACTCACAAAAACAGTCACATCTAATTTTTTTTAAAAATGCATGCAGTTCATAAAGATATAAAACGACCAGTCGTTTATAGTTAAAACAAAAACGACACCTCGTTTGATGTTAAGCTAAACACAAGACGCAAGTTTATTACCCTGCGAGGAAAAACGAGAAGGAACGACATGAATGTCATGAATTCCTCCAAGTTAAAACGACATGTATATAATAGGACATGTCGTTTTGAAAATTTCATTTCCATGTGCACGAAGGACATGAAGGAAAAACGATTACGTGTTTAAAAAATATATGAACGACGTGTTGTTTATAGCTTAATTAAACGACACTTTGTTTATTGTTTAAGGTTAACGACAAGCTGATTACGCTCTCTAAGGAAAAACGACATCATTATGTAATTTTACCATTAAAAAGTCAAAGGACATCCCCTTTGGCCCTTTGTGTTTGCTTAAGGAACGTCATATCGATCTTAGTTAAAAGCGCATGTTCTTTACTTTATACGATCAAACCTCACGTCGTTTATAATAAAACGACATGTCGATGATTCGTGAAGAAACATCATCAAATTCAACATGTCGATACTGGCTTAGTTATAGATACAACATGTCTTTTTTATCTTATCTTTACAAACAAGACGGAATCATTTCTTGTTCAATTTGTTGAATTTCTTTTAATAAGTAAATATAAAATTTTTAAAAAACCATTTATTTTATTTATTATTTTGTTAGAATTTAGCAGAACATTTTATAATTCATAAAGAGGCAACTATAAAAAAATATATAAATAAAGATGACAACTATAAAAAAAATGAATTAGATTATTTAGGCCTCGTTCGTTTTGCGGATTCGAATTTTTAATTCGAGCTGAGATGTGACATTTTATAAGAGCTTTTAACTGTAACAGAAAAAGTTAAATGTGATATTTTCTGAGAGCTTTTAACTGTAAAAACTTAAAATTGAAAATTCAAATCAGTGAAATGAATGAGGCCTTAGTATCTCTAACACTACTCATAAAAATACTATTACTATTGGCATTATTTGTAGTTGTTATGCTAATGGGCAAAAACAATTAATCGTTGCTTTAAATTGATCCCTCCGTCTGTTCATGGATAGCTGAGACCACTATAGAAAGCCAACATATTGCTACCGTTGTCTATTCTTCAACGTCGTAAAAATTGATGGCTTTGTCACCATCCTTTTTTTTTTGTTTTCTGGCCGAAAAGGATTCAAGGTTTGCCACCATCTTTAATTTATTTGTATAACTGCCCAATTCTTGTATAACTGCCCAATTCAAGTATTATGAATAATTGAGGTCCATTATGTGGTCCCAATTCAAGTATTATAATTGAGGTCAATTCTTTCCTCCTAACTTTGTCCCATGTCGCAATAGCATAACTAATGCTTATGACCGATCCCATTAGAAGTGTGTAATATCCAAATTAAAAATAAAACAGAATATAGGTACATCTTGCTTAAGTTGGTTATATTTCTCTGTTGCTAATTTCACGTTCTAAGACAAAAAGATTAAAAAGGGTTTTTCTTTTCTGAAAGGATCGTTTATTGAGATGAAACTAAGAGATTAGAGCCCCGTTCTTTTCGCTGATTCGATTTTAAAATTCGAGTTTTGCTATAGTAAAAAGCTCTCAGAAACAGTCACATTTAACTTTTTTGTTACAGTAAAAAACTCTCACACAACATCACATCTCAACCCGAATTAAAAACTCGAATTAGCGAACTGAACGAGCCCTAGATTTTTGGTGGTTTGCATTTTGCGTCATCAAATACTTTCCTTTTATAGTTTCACACCAGAATTGTTCCAAAGGTCTGGTCAAATCATACATGCTTATACTATTTCAAGCCACCCCAATATATATATATGTGTGTGTGTGTGTAATTTGAACACATTTGATAGAGATGAACTTTAAAGTACTTGAGCTGCTATCCAACTAACCAATATTGTAATTAAAAACTTAAAAATTTACTAAACCTACAATTGAAAGTAAATATTAATTGAGTTACTCAGCAACAGACAAGTTGACATTAACTTGATCCACCAACCAACTTATTTATCCGATCCACCTAAACCCCAAGAATCAAAACACAAAATATATGAATGCCATTATATATGAAACCACTTCCTCTTTCAAGAGTAGTATCCGTTTTTTTTTTCTCCTTTAAATATATCAAAAATCTAAGATCCACAAGGGCTTTGGTATTGCTTTGGTATTGTTGTAGATTTTAGAAAAATTACTTTTAACTCAGTTGAAAAAAAAAAAATAGCTGTTATAAAAAATAATTGAGTGTTTAGTAAATTATAATTATAGTAGTTTTGCTGGTTCTAAAATCAGTATAATAGCATTTAGTAAATTATGAGGTTGAATTGATGTTAATAGTTAAAAATTATGACTATATTATGTTATACTATGATATAATATATATAATTACAATATAATATATATTTATTATTATATTTAATATAATAAAAAACTATTATTATATAATATATTATATAATTATGATATAGAATATAATAATATTATTAAAATAATAATTGAAATAATTAAAAATAATGATCATATTATATTATATTATAATATAACATATATAAGTACAATATAATGTATATTTATTATTATATTTAATATAATACAATAAAACTATTATTAAATAACATATTATATAATTATGATATAGAATATAATAATATTATTAAAATGGTTAATATAATTACAATATTATAAAACATATTATAATATTACGT